CCATGTCTTAGGCACTAAAATGGCACTCCTTGGACCCCGCCTACCCTGGGATCCTGTCAACCACATCTTGGTACCCAATTCAGTTTTAGCACCACTAAGAGAAATCTATTTTTATATTGAGAACAGGAAACATTAGTTATTTCCACTATGGAAATTTTATAAGACAAGAGTGTAGAAATATTTTAAAAGACATTTTACGAACAGTGAAAGATCTTCCATTAAATCACTCAATAAATTGCTCCGTAAATGGCCAGCCCAAAACCGGAGTTCAGACCAGGCACCGCCTCGGTGTTGGGACCTTCTGGGAATGGGTCTCTGTTATCAACCCCTCTCTAACTTCCTCTCTGCCCAGCCCTGTGCCTCCTACATGCAGGGACAGCTCCCCTCAGTGTCAGTGGCCCTGGGACAGATGACCATGATCATATGCTCTGGAGATAACCTCAGAATAAACACGCATTTTGGAAAAAGCAGAAGCCAAGCCAGGCCTCAATGATGGTCCTCTAGTATAACAGCAACCAGCCCTCAGAGACCTCTCCTTAATTTTTAGGCCACAAACTAGGGAACATGGCCAACCTATCAGCAGTGCCCAGGCCAGGGACCAAGCTACTATGGTGCCTCAGATTGTGGCAGTGGGGGCAGCTGGCAGGGACTCGCAGTGACACAGACAGATGAGGACTTGCAACACAACTGTCCCACCTCGGCCTGGCTCTCATTCGCACCTGCCCTCTGAGCAGCTGTAGGTCAGGCCTCAGGGTCAGGTATCCTCTCTGGTCCTAACCTGGCCCCTGCAGGGCTGGAGATTCTAACAGCTTTTCCACTCTCAGGGCCTACATGTGTTCAATAAAATCTGTACAGGTGGAAGCTCATTAAAGCTGCAAGGACCTTTTACAGGTTTGTAGTACACATGAGGACTTTAGGAATCCATAAAGTGTCACGTGGCTCCATGTGTAATCACACATCACACAGGGAAGGAAAGAGCTGTTTCACAGGATGCAATCCTGCTGGAATTCCTCTTTTTCTTGGGTAGAAGCAGCTTAGTGGAGGCTGTGTCTCCTCTGGTTTCCTAAATGTGTTGATCCCACATTCTAATGGGGCACCTGAGGCCTGAGGAGGACAGGAGACCCAGCCCCTGTGGGCCTCGAGGCCCTTCTTGTCCTGACATTTCACAGAGACTGCAGAGGAAGTGCAGACCCAACCTTTGGTCCCACCTGGGGACTGTCTTCAGGGAACAGTGATCTTTCACAGTCTCCAAGTTCCCAGCACCTGCCCCCGTAGGTCTGACCTGATTGGGTGTGTCTCCAGCTCCCTAATAGCTTGGATTTTATCTTTGGAGTCTGGGCTGCTTTCTAAGGCACTCACTAAGAAACCCTTGGTTCCAAGTGCAGGGCTTGCCCCTCTGCTCCATGTCCCAGGGCTGCAGGCACAAGGCGTAGGTCCTACAGGGTGAGGCTGGCACCCTCTTTCAGGAGGGATCTCTCATCCCAGACCCCAGGGCCAGGTTCACTGGGCTTTTTTTCCTCACTCGGAATCTCTCAGTCTTTTTGTTTCCTTCTTTAAGAGTACAACTGCTTTTTGGTGAAATCATGTGTATACATCAAAGTTAACAGATTACTGTCACAAGCGCATATATATACAGATCCTCTCCCTAGGTGGGGTAACTGTGGACAGTCTGCCATAGTCGTCCTTCTCTCTTTCTCTCTATCACAAGTGAGAATATTAATAGCACTCTTCTATGCAAACCATATCATATTCTCCAGTCGCACAAGAATGATTCTTTTTTTTTTTTTTGAGACGGAGTCCTGCTCTGTCGCCCAGGGTGGAGTGCAGTGGCCAGATCTCAGCTCACTGCAAGCTCCACCTCCCAGGTTTACGCCATTCTCCTGCCTCAGCCTCCCGAGTAGCTGGGACTATAGGCGCCCGCCACTACGCCCGGCTAGTTTTTTGTATTTTTAGTAGAGACGGGGTTTCACCGTGTTAGCCAGGATGGTCTCGATCTCCTGACCTCGTGATCCGCCCGTCTCAGCCTCCCAAAGTGCTGGGATTATAGGCCTGAGCCACCGCGCCCGGCCAAGAATGATTCTTTTATAGTTGCTTAATTTCCTGCCTTTCAGGACCCTGAAATTTCCCATGTTCACATTTGGTTGCCATTTCTCTCTGATCCAACAGCATTCCTTGGAAGTCGAGGCTTATGAAGCATTTTGCAAAAAGTTCCACAGGAAAACTCAAGTTCCTGGTGCACAGTTGGACCATGTTCATTGCGTGCAGCAGAACCTTGTTCCAGTGTTGAGTCCATTTTATGTTTTAACCATCAAAGGGACGGGCATTATGACTTTTGGGCACTGAGTCGATGGAAGGAAGATAGCAGCCGATGATGACCTTAGGCACTGACGTGTACGCGGCCAGTGTCTATAGATGGATTTGGAACTTGAAGGTGCTGTTCATTCTGCAGATGGAATTTCCAGCACCGAATCTCCACCACGAAGCCACTAGCACTTGGCAGACGCTCTGTAAGAGGAAGCCCTTCACTGCCAATCACAGCCATTACACGGGTGAAGGTGAGAGAGACTTTTAATAGCTATTAACTCTCAAAACAAACTGAGGAATAAACTCAGGTTCACAAAGTGACTTTGAGGGAACAGCCTGAGGAAGCAAGTTAATTAGCAGCAGCAGGTTTTGCCCAGAGCAGGAGGAATCTCAGGATCAGTGAGGACCTAGTGATACCACGGTGTGGAGGTGCTGCGAAGCATGGTGACATTCAAGAAAACCTGTTCTCTACAAACACCTACCTACCCACAGGCACAGCAGACACCCCAGCTAAGCCAAGGGCTCTGTCTTCCTCTAGAGTAAGAGCCTGGTAGCAACCACGTGTCCTCTGAAAGGCAGGTGCCTCATCAGTCAGCTCTGCACAACTGAAACAAAAGGAAAACTACCAGAGAACTTTCCAGAAAACAATCAACCTGCTTGTGCTGGTGCATTGATGGTGACCCAGGATCAATGGAAGTAACAGAAGCTTAATTTCGCCATGGCTGCATGATGGACACTGGGAGGGAAGTGTGGAGCCAGATTAACCAGCACTCTAAGTGGCTTCAGCCCCAGGTAAGCAGGAACAAGTGACGGGGCTGAGCCCACTTGTGTCTAATCAGTCCCAGCCTCAGCAGGTGCATCCTGGAGACCACCAGGGAGTGTGTGTGCTCAGCCCCTCCCAGATTGCTGAGCATAACCAGGAAATTGCCCTCCGCACACCTGCCCGCACCACACACCGACCCGCACCACACACCTGCCCCCAGCTCCTCACTTACAAGACAACATCAAATCAGACACAGATTGGTCTGGGTCCCAGATCTCCTCAGGTTGCTGCCGTCCTCTCAGATCCCCATATAGCAGACTCTTCCCCTCACACTCCTGTTACAGGTTACTCTTTTCCAATATGATGGGGGTTTGCTTTCACTCTTTCTATATTTTTTGTATTTTCATGGGTAAGCTGAGCCCCTTCTACCTGGTCTTGAGTCAGGCAGGGGCCACACAGAGAAGAGGGATTCCTCCCCTGGGGCCAGCAGTCCATGGATCAAGGCATCAGGGACCTGAGCAGCAGGTTCTGTTCCTATGCCTGGACCCAGGAGGCCCCTGAGCCTCCAGCAGCCAGTATGGAGCAGCCACCAGAGGGGCGGCAGAGAGTCGCCTGGGAAAGCCACCTGGGGATGGGGTGGGCCTGGGCATCAAGGAGATGCTGACATGCAGGGAGGGTCAGTGACCATGACCTGACACCTGGAGGGAAATAGGTCTGTCTTTTTCTAGAGTATCATCCTTGACACTGATGTAAAAATTCTAGAATCAAATTTTATCTTCAGCTCTTGTAGATGTTCCTGTTTCCCTGACAAAGGTCCAGGCACTTGACTTCCCCACACACCCTCTCCTCACACACCCAGTTGTGCTAAAATGCTGTCCCTGTCACACACACTGTCCTTCCTGAGGTTACACATGTCCCCCTCCCTGCCCTATGCCCTGGGAGCCCCTGTCCTGTAGACACGGCAGCTTCTCCGTCCCTGGCTGCACCCCATCTCCACTGTCCTGGGCATTCCCATCTCTCTCCTGGGAAAGCTGCCAAGTCACAGCTCTAGATTGCCTTGTGAAGCACAAAATAGTTGCTCACTAACCTTCTGTTGACTTAATTAAGTTTTTAATCCCTTGATTTGTTTTCCCCAGCAACTGAAGACGCCTTAGTCATAATAAACATTGACTTCCAGGAGTCTTGCAGTTTGCTGACCCCTCTCATTCTCTCATGGAGCAAACATTTTTCTTGACCTCCTTATCTGTCCCTGGTCCTCACAGCGCCCTGGGGACACTGGGGCACAGCATCTATGACCTGCCCTAGAGCTCACAGCCGACGCAGAAACTTACAGCATCCCATGGATCTTCCAATACTCCGTGTGCACTTGGCAACCAAGAAATTTTCTTCTTCTCCAGCACTGAGGAGCTGTGCCCTGGGGTGGGGCCTGTACCTATCCAAGGCAGGTGCTGTCACCTGGAGAGTGGGGACAAAGAGGGTCCTTACATTACGTTCTGGAAAGTGTCTTCAAAAATGGATTTAGGCCTACACCCAAAATCTCCTCTCTGACACAAATTATTTATGATCAGGACACATCTAGAGGCCTAGACCAAAATTCACCACCTCCCTCCTGAGTCAGGATGGAATGGAAGAGGGGACTGGGGACCCCAGATAATTTCCCTGTCACCACTGTGACTCTATGGCCACCTCCTGCAACAGTCAGGGACAATCCCATAGGAGGGGCTTCATATGTCATAGGAAAAACACCCAAAGTCACCTATGAGCTGTACCATGACCAAGTGAGCCCAGGAGGGGGTTTGAGCACAGGGTGGTGTGGAGATATCTACAGAGACTGTGGAACCAGTTTGTAAAGGAGACACTGTAGGCTGAGGGTGAGAGTGTAAGGCCACTCCTCCCCTTCTCTGCATCCTTTGGGGCTGAGCCCTTCTCTGGAAACCACAGATCTCCTCCAGCAGCAGCCCTGACTCTGCTAATTTGCATCACAGGCTGCTCTCTTCAGCAAGGGAATAAGAGAGGCCTGGGAGGAACCTGCCCAGCCTGGGCCTCAGGAAGCAGCATCGGGGGTGCCTAAGCCATGGCCTGGACCGCTCTCCTTCTGAGCCTCCTTGCTCACTTTACAGGTGCTGCCCTCAGTGTCCCAGCCACCTGCCCAGTCCCAAGGCTCTGGGTCCAGCCCGGCCTGACAGTTACCTCAGCAGGGCCCTGCCTGTGGTATGCAGGATGCTCATGATCCTGCTGCAGGGGGAGGGGCTGCTGGGGGTGAAATGTCCCCATACTGTTCTTCTGTGCTCATGATCCCGAGGACACTTTTATTCCTGAAACTCAGGCCAGGCAGGTGGGAAGGCGTTCTTGGGCTGAGCCCCTCAGTTTCAAGTCTATTCTATTCTCTCCCCTTTTCTTGCAGGCTCTGTGGCCTCCTATGAGCTGACTCAGCCACTCTCAGTGTCAGTGGCCCTGGGACAGATGGCCAGGATCACTTGTGGGGGAAACAATATTGGAAGGAAAAATGTGCAGTGGTACCAGCAGAAGCCAGACCAGGCCCCTGTGCTGGTCATCTATCAGGATAGCAAGCGGCCCTCTGGGATCCCTGAGCGATTCTCTGGCTCCAACTCGGGGAACACCGCCACCCTGACCATCGACAGAGCCCAAGCCGGGGATGAGGCTGACTATTACTGTCAGGTGTGGGACAGCAGCACTGCACACAGTGACACAGGCAGATAAGGAAGTGAGACACAAACCCTTTCTCCATCTGTGTCACCCTCTTTCTCTAACTCCAGGAGTACTATGAACAAAGCCATAAGCAGATCTGGTTCAATTTTCTTTAATCTCTGCCCCCAGCCTGTCCCTCCCTCCAGTGCTTCAGGCGGGGTCTGCAGAAAGTGCATCAGAAGTTCATTTAGGGTGATGTGATGGACTGGTGTTTTGGTGACTCAGCTGTGACTTGGGAAAATAGGGCCTGTATGGAACATCAGACTGAGGTAGACATCCATAGTTGGCTCTGGATTTCCATAGGTGGTGACAGGCCAGTCCTTGCCCCAAATGTCCTAGATCAGTCCCCAGAACTGCTCAGCTCAGGCTCCCGTGGTAGCCGGGGCAGAAAACAGACTCCTCCAGGTTTATGCCCTGCCTCAGCGAGGTTAGGTTTCATGACTGCCTGAGGTCAACATCTCAAGACTCTGCCTCAATATAGGAGGACCTGAAAATCCTCCCAGCTCCACAGCTCCCTGTAGGAAACACTGAGGCCTCAATGAGAATCGGGGTCTCCTGCCCGGTGTTGCCTCCCTCACCTCCTTTCACATCCTCTGTGCATGCAATTCTCCATCTCAGAGTCTGCTTCCAGGGAACCCAAATTAAGATCACCAGCCATCCCCAACATGGGCCATGCGGGAAACTCAGTAGGCCACAGTACACTGGAAAGCATCCTAAATTAGCATTGTGAGTATCCACATGCCCAATGAAATCTGAGTGTTTCTTGCATTTGTATGGATGAAAAGGGAGCCTGACTCACCAGGTGCTCTGGGTTCTGAGGGAGAGCTGGAGTCAGATCTCCCCGCACAGAAACCTGGGGCAGGAGGAGCAGCCTCACCCCATGCAGGGACCACAGATGCATCCACAGGGTGAGCTGCAGGATGGACACTGCCCACCTCCACCCTCCACACCCAGTGCAAAAAATATCATTCTTTCCACCCCTCCTTCAGCCTATCCAAGTTGACACTTAAAAAGCCACCACAGCCCACGCTTGTCAACAGGAAACCCATTCACATCTCCATCAACCACACAATCCCCACAGATTCTTCAAAACATAGTAACAGTAGCCATGCAAGGTATAAAAAGTGTCTCATAAATAATTGTACTTAGATTACATATGAAAATGATAGTCTTTTTGATATACTAAGTAAATAAAATATATTATTTAAATTCATTTACTTCTTCTCTTTGTATGTCTAAGGTGGTAACTAGACAGTGGGATTCCCATGAGGCTCACATCATACTGTGAATGAACAGTGCTGGTCTGCACCCCTTCAGGTTACAGGGACTGTGGAGTGACCTGGTGCAGGAAGCCCTGTCTCCATCCATAGGTCATCAGTGTGAACCTAGGGAGAGGTGCTGGTGTAAGAGAGATGAGAACCCAGGGGTGAACCACCTGCTTGTGCAGAGGACTGAGCCTTTACTTTGAGCCAAAGAAGTTTCCTTTCCTATCTTCAATCCTGAACAAGAGGACTTTCTGGACGTCTTTTTGTTTTCAGGTTTGTGCCACTTCAGGTTTGGGGATGGCTGGATCCCAGTCAGGGGACACTGAGAAATCCAGAAGTCTCACACTGACTGTTGTGTTTCATCTGCTGGGGCCATCCCAAACCACTGCGTACCATTTCCTTTCCTGGTGCTCAGATAGCTGCTCCATGCACTTGTCATGGTTTCAGAGATGAATCCAGGTGGGAAGACAGGATAGCGTATGTTACAATATTTAAATAGAACCTGAAACCCTTAATAGTGATTTTAATATTGAACATTCAAAGAGTTGTGTCATAGGCAATGGGAAAAGATGAAGAAAATTAAAAGCATTGTGAGGAAAAAACAGAAACGTATTTATCGAATGTGTGTGTGTCTTCAGTGTTGCAGGATTGAGAGTGGTCAGCTTTAGGTTGCCCTGAGGATGTGCTCAGATGGGGGAAAGCAAGAAAGCAGGAAACACGCGTCTCTGTGAGCTGACACATAAATCACAGTAATGGAAATCAATCTTTCAAGAAATCAAACATTCATAATAAATATCACTCTGGTACACACAGAGAGGCCTGTCAGCAAACTTGCCCTCTGTCCTGCTGGGTCTTACCCCCATGGATGACCAGTGTGCAGAGTGGATTCTGCGGTCTCCATTTCTCAGGCTGAGAACCAGAGGGTGAGAAGGACAAGTTGCCTGCTTGTGAGTGGGAAGGGCAGGATTGGGGGCAGAGGACTCAGACTCAGGACCGCAGCCCTAGTCGGTGCTCCTCGTTCCCTCTACGGGGTCCCTCCCACACGTGCCCCGTGTGGATGTGGGCGCACTGCCTGGGGCGGCTGATGTGCTCCAGGGATTCAATGCTGCAGATGGTTCAGCACAAAGCATGGGGGTGGGGATGGGACGAGGCTACAGCTGGGGAGACCAGAGACCAACGCCACCCAGCAGAGGTTTCCATGGGGTGGGCAGCCCCATTTCCTGAGAATAGAGAGAACCTGGCAATGGGTGCCAGGAAGAGGGCACTTCGAGGTGTGCCCAGGCCTGGAGGGTCACAGACACAGGCACCACACAGCAGAGATGCTGAGGGCCAGGAGCTCACTCAGGTGAGGGGCTTCCGCACATCTCTCTCTCCTGAGCAAACCATGTGCAAAGAAATCAACTTCCTGTCATCAGAATAGACAATCAGGGACTTTAGTCTCCTTGGCTAAGCCCCGCTGTCTAGGGAAGCAGAAGTCTCTGAGCCCAGGCCCAGGTGAGGGTGGGGTGAGGAGAGGAGCTCAGGGGGCAGATTTGCATGGAGGCCGCACCCTCCTCTGAGGCAGAGGGGATAAGACAGGGCTGGGGGCAGGCCCAGAGCTGGGGTCTCAGGAGGCAGCACTCTCGGGACGTCTCCACCATGGCTTGGGCTCTGCTCCTCCTCACCCTCCTCACTCAGGGCACAGGTGACGCCTCCAGGGAAGGGGCTTCAGGGGCCTCTGGGCTGATGCTTGGTCTCCTGCTCCTCAGGCTCACCTGGGCCCAGCACTGACTCACCAGAGTGTTTCTCCCTCTTTCCAGGGTCCTGGGCTCAGGCTGCCCCGACTCAGTCTCCCTCTGTGTCTGGGTCTGCTGGACAGTCGGTCACCATCTCCTGCACTGGAACCAGCAGTGACATTGGTGGTTATAACCGTGTCTCCTGGTACCAACAGCACCCAGGCAAAGCCCCCAAACTCATGATTTATGAGGTCAGTAAGCGGCCCTCAGGGGTCTCTGATCGCTTCTCTGGCTCCAAGTCTGGCAACACGGCCTCCCTGACCATCTCTGGGCTCCAGGCTGAGGACGAGGCTGATTATTACTGCAGCTCATATGCAGGCAGCAACACTTTCCACAGTGGTCCAAGTTCATGGGGAACTGAGACCAAAACCTGCCCTGGGCTCTCAGGTTCCCTTTTTGTTCTGAAGATGCTTCCTCAACTGGTGCAAGCGGCTTCCTGTAGCACGGCCTTGACAATTCTCAGCTCCTCTCCTTCCCTACTATGAAGTCCAAAAGAAAACTTGCACTGTGGTTTCTCTTCTGGGACAGTTGATAGTTTCCTGATGATTGTGTGTTGTGGTCCCTGAATTGCAACTCTTCTCAGCTCTTCAAATGCAGGGGACAGTGACAAGGAGCTGTCTGATTCCCTGCTGTTTTCAGGAACATCCTCATCCTAAAAGCATCCCCGCCTTCCTCGCTGTGGAGACCAATCTGGACAGGAGTCATTAGAGGGAGTTTCCAGAAATTGCATCTTACTCCACTCTGTGTCCTCCATGCTCTTGTGAAGATGGCCCTCCTGGCTGGGCTATTACTCTGCACCTCTGTCCGGAGGCAGTGACCACTGAGGGAAGATCTCAAGATGTTTCTGAGAAATTAGTAACAAAGAGGAAGCTGTTGTTTTTCTTATTTCTGCTCCTCCTCTTTGCCCCAATACCTCAGGTTGCTGAGCTAGGAGATTTTGAGTGACAGGCTCAGTGTTCTCTCAGAATCCCCCTCCCCTCACATCACTGAGCCCCTGTCTTGGAAAGGCCCCATATGTGGACGGTCTCCCCATAGAATGGGAGATTCCCATGTGGCTCTACAGGGTAGAGTTAGCCTGAGTCCATTCCTTCTTCCTCATTGACATCCAGCATTTCTAATTTCCACGGGCGTCAATACTTTTGTAACTGAAACCTTTATTAATCTACTAATGGTGATAATTTAGAAAATATTCAGACATGAGCTGGATCCAATAAATTTTCTGAGCCTGTTATTAAACATAACTATTATTATATATATTTTAGGTTTCATAAACTTCAAATAAACAGATTGTATTAAAAACAAAGTAACCGTTTTACTATATGTGTATCCTATATCATCATGTTGTGTACCTGAAATATGCGCAACAAAATGTGTTTCAATGACAAAAGTGTATTCATTGCCGATTGCTGTATGAAAGTTACTCCTTATACTCAGCATGTTAAGAGAGCACATGTGTGTGATCGTGTCACTTTGGTGCATCTAGATTTTGGGAGCAGCTTGGTTTGCTGGTTCTGGCTCCAGATTGGTCATGAAGTTGCAGCCAAGCTGTCAGGCAGGGCTGCATTCCGAGACCAGAGCAGGTGACCAGGCTCAGCCTGAGGGGGTTCCACTGTCCCTAACCTTTTTGGCAGATGTAGATCAGCTCAGGGTATAAGGAGAGAATGATGTGTAAGGCCCCTGTCTGTTCCTTTATGTCAAAGACCATTCCATGCATGTATAATTTTTTCTTTCCTCAGACATCCTATGCATAGAGCCCTGTCCCATTCATTCTAAGCTGCAACATATTCCAGGGCAGAGTTTAAGCCAACTATCTTCTAATGGTTATCACCATGATTTTGATCTCACAAGAAACAGGGCAGTGAACACCTCTATGCAGACTCCTTGTAGCTCACATGTGCATATGACTATAGGATAAATTTCTAGAAGTCCAATTGTTGGATCAAAAGGTTGTATGTTTGTAATTTTCACCCATTATTCTCAGATTCCTCTCCAGTGGGGTCCCACCAATTTATTATGTCAGCCATAAATATTTCATCAGAGTACACTGTTGAAACTTTACATTTTTGCCAACCCATCAGATTGAAAAATGTTATCATGCTATTGTTTTATTTTTGATTTTTCTTCTTCTGTTTTGGGTTTAGCATTTTCTCAAATATTTCAGTGGTCTTTATTTGACAGAATTCAGTAAACTTTTTCTTAAATTCCCAGAGGAAAACGATTTTAGTCTTAGTGGTCACAGATGGTGGCTCACAGCTATAATCCCAGCACTTTGAAATACCAAGGTGGGAAGATAGCTTGAGCCCAGGCGTTCAAGACCAGCCTGCAGAACATGGTAAAACCTCATCCATGAAACTAAATAAAATTAATTAATTTTTTAAAAAGTACTTTAGTCTTTGTTGCTCAACAGTGACATTTGCAGATACACAACCATTTAAAACTACAGAAATGACTCTCAGCTCTAGGACCATTTTCTGAGCCTCTTGTTAAACACAGCCATTAAGAACAGGCGGCAGGTCAGGAAAGGCCCACTGGATGTAGCTTAATTGTTCCTGGTTTGTAGGGGTAGGTGAGGTTTGATAATTCCACCAGCATAAGTTCTACATGGAGATCTCTTGGTGGTTTCACCTCCTACAGTGGCCAGGGGTGTTTCTTTGGATGAGAACATACGTGTATCTATCTATTTGATTGGATCTTGAGTCTACCCAAGACAGCCCTGTGTCACAATCTCATAACTTTTATCTTCATCTGTTTGCTCTGAGTCATACGATAGTTTTAGCATAACAGGAACAGACTTGCCCTAGATGGAAAATCAGAGGGAGAGGGAAGGACAAACGGGCAAGGAAGCTCGTACTATATATGGAATAATCCAGAGCAGGCTCAGAGAAAAAGGTCTTAAAATCAGTTGTATACCTGAAACCAAAAACGTGCAAGATTATTGAAGTTCTGGGGATTTTAAGTGAATAAGGTTTAAGTTTTCATCATATTACAGTTTTATATAAAGCATAAACACTATAAAACTCAGAATGTAACAATGGAATAAAAAAGAGCTTGAGATTTTAAGCTGTAATGACCCCAAAACAAGTTGCCAGGAAAGGAACCTTGATAGCAGAAATGTGTTATTCTACAAATCATCATTTTCTGTAAAAGTAGATTTTTTCCCCTTTTTCTTAGGTATAAGGAAACATTTCACAAAACATCCTTTTTTCCCACTGTGAAGAGTACCATTATCCCACCAAGCAACTGGAACATTAAGGAGGAAACAGTTGCACTTTTGTATCAACATTGAGAAGATTCTTTATTAACACATCAATATGTTCATGCTTAATGATAAAATTGGAATTAGTCATTTAATATGCTTACAACAGATTTTTTCTTTGGGCTATACCATTTTTGTCTATGATTTATCTTAGTTAACTCAGACATATTGTGTTCTAAAAACAACTCAATTTTTGATATTTTTTGTTTTATTTTCTGTATCAACTATGGCTCTTTTCCAAACACTGCCAGAGATATCCTATGGCTACTCATTATTCAATTCAATTTTATAGGCATTTGAATTATTTGATATTACTCTAAATTATTTCAAGAATGCACAGATGTGACTTCCTCCACATCTTGCTCACAAACATTGCTGATGCTGACTCACTCATCTCTTTCAATCTTAATAAAGTAGGAGTTTACTTTTCTGGACTCACAGAAGGTAACAGGAGTGAGGAGGCAGAACCTCCAAAAGCTGCTATCCTTTAAACCCTCAGGATGAATCACACCTGGAGTCTCGCCCACACTTGATTTTGATGGTATATAAATGAGAGTTAAGTGTTAGAGTTGGTTGTGAGTTAAGGAATCAGTTAGTTTGGGCTGTTGGGATGGGGTGAATGTATTTTACAAGTGAGAAAGAAAAAAGTTTTGGAGTTCATGGGGTGGGGGATTATTGGCTGAATCCCATTCCTTAAAATTCATGCAATAAAGTACTAATACACAGTGTGTGACTGAATTTGGAGAGAAAGTTTTTAGAGGGAATTAAGTGAAAATGAGGCCATGAGGGTGAATTCCAACCCAATCTGACTGGTGTCCTCCTAAGAAAAGAAAATTTGCACACACAGAAGTGAGACACCAGAGATGAGCGTGTAAAGACCATGTGAGGACACAGCAAGGAGGCAGCCAGCTGCAAGCCAAGGAGAGAGGCCTCAGGGGAAACCAAACCCACCAACACTTTCACCCTGGACTTTTCAGCTTCAGCACTGAGAAAATTAAGTGTCTGTAGTTTAGGCCACCAGCTCTTTGGCATCTTATCATGGCAGCTCTAGCAAATGGAAACAAGAGGGACCCCAGAGGCCCTGGGATGATGGAGCAGGGTGCAGGAGGCAGGACAGGGAGGAGCTGGAAGATCAGGCTCTGAGGTGCGTCCCCTGGGTGGAATCGTAACTCCGCTCAGTACTGCCTGGGAACTTGAAGAAAAATGTTTAACCTTCTAATATTGATTCCCAAAAGAAGATTGGATCTTGAGAATAGGGCTCATCCTCCTATTCCTATTATAAAAGTGTTCTTGAGGTCGTGCTTGTAACACATTTATTCTGTGTCCAGCAGGGTGTACTGCCAGCCTTCATTTAGGGCCCTAATGGCTCCAAGTCCCCTAATAATGCTCAAGTGCAAAGGGCATGACTGGTGCTTCTTTTGAGGCCCCTTCTCTTGGGTAAAATGTACTCTCCACTCAAGACTCCCAGCTGGCCCTTCTGCAGACAAGAGCTCAGAGAAATGCTCTGGAAAATGGAGAAGAAATTTGCATCTGCTGCTCACCAGGGAGCCACCCAAAAAGGCAAAATAGGGCAGGAAGTAGATTTGCATGACGAGGTTCCACTTCCTATAATAAGAGATGCCTGGTGGCCTCTACCCAGCAGTGGGTCCAGAGGCAGAGCTCTGGGGCATCTCCACCATGGCCTGGACCCCTGCCCTGCTCACCATTCTCACTGTCTACACAGGTGGTGTCTCCCAGGGCTCAGCCCCCAATGAGACCAAAGTCAGCCTGGCCCTGACCTTCAGCTCAGCACAAGGGAGTGATGCTCTGGGAATGAGACCTTCATCCTCAGACTCACCTCTTCTGTCTTCATTTGTAGTTTCTGTGACCTCCTCTGAGCTAAGTTATCTGCAGTGTCTGTGACCTTGAAACGGATGGCCAGGATGACCCATCAGAGAGACAGCACAGAAGATTCTTATTCATTTGTACCAGCAGAAGCCAGGCCGGGCTCCCGTGATGGTTATCTATGATAAAATCAACCAGCCCTCAGGGATCCCTGAGCAGTTCCCTGTATCCAGCTCAGTGGCAATGGCTGCAGTGACCATCACTGGGGCTCAGGTTGAAGATGTGGCTATTATTGCTGGTTGGTAGACCTCAGTGGTACTTATCCCATGGTGACACAGGCAGATGGGAAAGTGAGAAACTCCTTCCCAATCTGTGTCACCTTCTTTCTCCAGCCCCAGAAGGACTGTGGACAAACCTATGAGCAGGTATGGCCCAGTTTACCTAGATCTAAGATCCCCAGGCTGCCCTTCCCTTGAACCTCCAGACAGGCTGCACAGAAGGTGGGTCAGGAGTTGATATACAGACAATTATTATAAGTTTATTCATTTTTTTCAAGAAGTAGAGGAATAACTGAACATGTTAACTAAAAATATGTTCACATTTTTCCAAAAAAAAAAAGGAAAAATTGGAATTGCAGAGATGAAAACCACAATATCTAAGATTTAAAAAACACACTGGGTAAAACTGACAAGTTAGATGCTGCAAAAGAAAAGATTAACAAACTATATAATGTAGCAATAGAAACTGTTCAAAATAAAAAAGTTAAGGAAAAAATAATGATGAAAATGAACAGAATAACAGTGAGTTGTAGGGCAACTTCAACAGCCCAACATACGTATAATTGAAGTCTTTGCAATAGAAAT